GATTACCAAGACTTCTGGACAACCGAGCTTTATAGCGGAGTAATGTAAAAACACGGCAGCTGTTGTCGAAGTTCATTCCGTGGTATACCAACTGTGCACTTAAATATGTAGTCATATTTAGTTCCATCGGTACGTCAGCAAACTCCCAGTGTAAAAAGTCTCGCAGAGGTCGTGATCTTTATATCGTAAACAATTGTGGTGTAAACTGCAAGAAACAGCTTGAATAGTGGGTAAGAAGTTTGAGATCCCAGTAGGAAAATGGACTGACTACTTCGGGAAACCGAAAATGTCACACAACTACAGTTTGTGAGCCTATATTATCAGTTTTGTGGATGCCAACCGCATCTCTAGGAAAATCAGTCACATTCAGTAAATAAGTACACTGGCCAAGTGTTACTATAGAATGTTGAGGACCGCATAAATTCTCTGACCCTAATACTTGAAAACTAATGAAGATGAGGCCGATCGATAGTCCAATGTCCAACCATGTTAGGAGATGATCTCTACAATGGAAAAAAACGCGTTGATAAATTTCAACTCCACTTTCCGACCAAGTGCTATATAAAATCGGAAGTCTACTGAAGAGATAACGGTACATTACACTTAGTAACATGCTAACAATACCTCGGAAATAATATGTACCGCTTGAGCGAAATTACATAATTACCGAGACAGGATAACTGGAAGAAATGTTAGAATTATCTAAGGTCCCAATTGCTGAGCTATTTCAAACATAATTTATACAAATCCATAAACTTAGGGTCCATAGTTTCGCAAAACAATTCTTCCAAATAATGATACATATTCCCCTTGAAGTCTAAAGTACCGACTGACGGGAAAATACCTATCCTTCTCATTGTTGTGTTGGGTCAAAAGTGCACAAGTGTTGCCACTATCGTAATTTAAGTTCAAGAAGCAACATGCCCCTAATTCAATTAAGGGTCACATCTTTTATAATTTATGGAACTACGAAAGTTATCTTATAAGAATTAAGTTTGAAACCACAAACCAGTAGTTTTGAGCTTCCTGATAACGCTAGTAAACCTGCAACAAGCATCAACGCTCCTCGTGATATTCCGCCCGTTGAATCCTTAATTCCTAAGTCACCATGTACTGTCTGATTATTTCAGCAACATATCAAACATGCTGAAAATAAGCTGTAACACAAGTGAATTTAGGGTTAATGCACAAGTTGAATTATATCTTGAGGTGAAAAGAAACCACCCATACAGACTAGAGCCTGGAACTTACATTAGAAGTGCGAAATGAAATATCTTTAAGAGTTATAATATTGAAGAAAATGCTTGGTAGAAAATTTGACTATCCAACATTTGTGGATGTCTCATAAACAATAGGGAGAATGTATACATAGTTCTGGGGGGCAATCTTTAGTTAAAATCCACCGGTTTGCGTTTGGAAAACTTCTATCGTATCGTTTTCTTCCATATCCAACTATAAATCATGGTGAGAATCGTAAGATCAACATACCTTAGCAGGAGTATCAGCCTCATGAACACTATTTCCATCGAAAATGAATCGTACTGAGGGTTGTTGAAGGCCCTAAAGCAGAGTGAGTATACGCTAACTAGATGCTAACCAATCGTTCACAGTATGCAAGCATTAGTTTCCTTAAAGGCGTATTTTTCCGTATTTTGAAATGGATGACTGCCCCTTCTTGTCCTTGCACTTTGATATTTATGTGTTCTGACTGAGTGTCCTATATTATGTAGGAAAAGCTTTGGTTATCATCATCAAAAGAATAGCATTTATATTTTACTAAAACTCATACCTTATTGGCGGAATCGGCCATCCCGACAAGCTTCTCTTCACGATTTAAAAAGGTCTGTTCAAACAAACGCTAAATGGCCCTATTGTCCAATATACAATAATTTCGAAATGAGTTGTATGTGTTCAAGTGCGTTTTAGAAAGCTTTATCTGCGTTGTATGGCTCAAAATACGCCGTTTTATGGCAATTTTAGTTGACATAACTTTGTGTACCACAGTTTATTCACCACTTATGCAATTTTAACTTAGTAAACGGAAAAATCTTCCAGCCCTATTCACAATAGCTACATAACATTCGTGCAGGATGAAGGAGTTTCTGGCTTACTAGGAAAATATATATCAAGAGAAACCTATAAAAGTTTACCTATTATGTGGTGATCAAGTAAATCGTTGAGAGATTCAGCTATTACGACCTTAGTTCCTTTGAAGACTGTCTAAAGGTTCATACATTGTGAATATTTGTAAATGTACCTGTGCTAGGAAAATACAGTTGTAAAACTAGATACTTTAAAGCCTCCACCCAGTATTTTTGTAGGGAATATCAAGTGTAGTGTGCAACTCGATTAGTTGGCTAGAGTTGCTGTTGGAGTAATCCCTCCTGTGAGATGCGCATAAATTCTATACTCAATTAGCGTCCAACTAACAGTGACTGTTCAATTAAGAGTATGTATTATCTTACACTAATATGTCATAAATTGTCATACCAGGGAGTTCAGGCTAGTTAAACATTACTTTGAAAGCACATTTGGGTTCAGGCTTGTAATTACAGTTTAACTGTACCCGGAAGGTGATGTGAGAAATTGAATGTGTGCCTCAATATAGGGGATATAGGATCCTCGAATTCAACTTTTGAGAAATTTTTAATTTCAGACGTCCCGTATTTGATGCGCGTTCGATTTTGTCTCTCACCAATCATTGCGTGTTGGAGAACTGTATTTCGTTTTTTGATTACCAAATTTATTTATGCTCAATCTTGATTCCAGGGAGATGTTTTTATGGACGAAGAGGTATATTTCTCCGTGGTCTCATCGTATAGAAATAATATCAAGACCGGAATGTAGAAGTGGCTAACAATCTCCGAGAATAGAAGCGAAATAGGAATGACAGAAAGAGAGAGACAGTCTTTTGTACAGATATACAAAAGTAGTACAATAGAACAGTCAATGTTAGAAAAGTACAATAATAAATGTTTACCTTTCAGAAATTGTGTTATCTTCGTATAGGTATACTACGACGATATATATTTCCCTAAAGTCCTAATTACCGACTGACAGAAAAATACCTTTCTTTCTAAATTTTTGTGTTCTGTTAAGTTTGCATGACTTTTATTTTCGATTATCATCGTGTATTTTTTCATTGTAGCTACTCCTTATGTGCGGTGAAATTGCAATTTTCACTGTTTTGGTACGATTGTTTGCATATGCGCGTCCAGAATTGAAGGAAGCTAGGGAACAAGTTAACCGATGACAGCATGTACATGTGCTTTGAATTTGGTGATAAATGCAATCGAAACCTATTGCCAGTATAAGACGTAAAAGTGCGACTATTTTCCCAGAATCTGCCCCTGAAACTCCGTCATATATTTAAAATCACCATCTGGTGTCTCCCCAGGTTATATTTGTGTTTGTAGTACTGATTAAATTAGTAAAAATTAGGCATACATGATGGTTTATTTACCGAAGCTTCACTTCATACTGCTTGTTTCAATATTTTCCACTTGACGGAATGTCGAAGTGACATTGTTATCAATGAGGTGATTTCGGAATGGATAAATACTGAGATCTGATTTTGCCAATAAAATGTAATGCACTCAAAAATTATTGAGGGCTGGACAATTGTCCTTGAACGTTTTCAACCTGACCTTGTTACTCACAATAGTCACTGTCTAGTTATTGGATTTTATCGGTAAGATGAGGTGATAATGGGGAGACCACAAATCATGGACGGACTGATCAAATTTTAGATAACGAGTCTTGGATTTGTCTCTAAACCCATACATGCACGTGGGTAACACTAGTTCTCAATTCTAACCTATGACTCTAAATCCTAATTCTAATTTCCAACTAATTTATCACCATCTTTAGACCTCATTTGGTAGGCTAATTTTTCAATTTCATGTGTGTCTCTCAAAGGTCGTACATAAATTGTATTCTCATCTTATCCAATCTCCTAAATTTGAGGAAATTCTGTATTTTACCTAGAAATTTTGGGGATTTCTCCAATGTTAGTGGAAAAACCCCGAATCAGAGGAAATTTTGAAGCCTTTGGATGCATTCCCTCAAAGCTTACCGTAAGAGCTTCCTAAAGTCATTAGACTGGGCATTTACTACATATTTGTTAGTATTATCTACTGACAATCTTGATCGGCCAATCAGATAATAAGAAAGTACCACTTAATCATAAAACAGCCAGCAGCTGACAGCCATAAAATATCATTTTTACAATAGTTTTATTTGAATAACCAACCCTCACATGTCGAGTTATTCTTTGAAGTGGAAGGAAAAATCTAAGTTCATCTATTAAAAGTCAGGATAGTATTATAAGTCAGGTTTATCAGTCCACAGGGGTTTCGTCATCAACTGCGGGCAGCTATACATCATATATGACATTAAAGGTTGGGTTTAGGTATTAAAAATCAAGCTCTAGTTCTGAGTCTGGTGACAAAGAAGTGTCACTTTTAAGAACAGTAAAATGAGATAATCAGAACTGTAGGAACCTACAGCAAATGCTAACGTCCGGTCAAGACATACTGTTATAACAGGTCGACTGATTTGTCACGTTATTTCAGCGAATGAGGTTGGAGAACTAAGGATCGGCCTATGTTATCCGTTTTTAAATTCTGAACGAATAGATTTCAAAAGAAGGCCAAATGTATAAATAAATACTATAATTTGTTTATTTGCATAATATGCAAACAAAATTTTGGTCACGAATTCATTGTAAATAAGCAAGCGACGTCAAAACCCTTCACGGTTAGGTTCCTTACTATTTCGAAATGCATTTTTCGTTGCACTCGGTAACACAAAGATCAGTACCAAAACGGACTTTTGGTGCTTAAGTTTGTGCAAGTTCCTGATGACAGACTGTGTCATTATGTGTGGGCAAGCTTCGTCGTCAAGAAATACTTTTGTTCCATTTTGTGCTATTTTTTTGAAATGCTAACATCAACCACTATTTCTTTATCCAACATGATATGCTGAAAAAAGACTGATGTATTTTACATTTAATGCTGTAGTGCTTGTTATTTTAAACTATTATTTATATTTTGTAAGCGTCCCAGAATAGATTTGTCTCATCATTTAATATTTTCGCCAACCGATTTTGTTACATAAATCGTGTACACTGTATTGGTTTATAATTATTCTCGTCAAAATTTTTACACTTTAAAATTTCTTAAATTTTAGGATACTGAGCTCCTGTTTCGATTTCAGAGTTGTGGATCTAATTTACTTTCTGGGATTGAGTTCAAGTAAATGTAGTTGAGCTTTTTCAGCTTCAGCTTATGTTGTTCCCCCCCATATTTTCTACCCTGTGAATTGATTACCTTTTGTCATTTGACATTATTCAGTTGGTGACCAAACAAATAACAGCAACACTATCTGGGATTTAACACATGATCAGGATATCTATTTTGTTGGCATCGTCTGTTTTTGCGGTATCTGCGATCACTCTCTTTTGTTTCTCGAAACTATTTCAGAGGCCACGTATTAAAAAAGTTTCACTTGTGTCATCAGTGCCTCGTTCCGCATTAACTGATACGTTGTTGCCCAAGACAGTTGAATTTGATAAAGAAAACCTAACATTTGATTTCTGTGCATGTATCTGTAGACTGATAAATATATCCGATTATGATACAAATCAGAAGCTTATCACCAGTCTTCACGAAGCTTCATCGTTTCGTCAGAATTTTGTAATTAATTTATATCATCATTAACCATTTGATTTCAGGATGTCATTAGGGATTCTAAGTGTCTAGAATCCATTCTATCTCTTCTAGACTCTACTTCAGGTACTTTACCAGGACGCCAGCAGAACTTAAACATTCTTCAAGTAGTAACAAACTTGGCTTGCGATCAGAAAAGTTTTCCAGTTATAAAGGTATAAGATTCTTATCCAAAAACAGTCTCTTTAGGATTATTTAGATGATATTTTACTGATAGCAGATACAATGGAATACAGTGATCAGACATGCAGTGCTCTTCAGGTACTGGGTAACATTGCATTAACTCCAGATGGATGCGAATTACTACGTAGTAAGTGTGGATACCTCTGTAAAATGTTGGGAATTCGCGATCCATACGTTTTGCGAAACCTGCTGGTAGTTTTTGTGAATTTATCCTGTGATACAGATTGTTGTGATGAACTTCTTACACAGGTATGTCTATAATTTTCAGATATAGTTTTAGGATGCTGAAGAATTTATATCGACTGTGGAGTATTCATTATCTCCTTATGCGCCTAAATCAGTTTCTACAAAGATGGCGGATCTTCTCTATAATCTATATTATCGACTGATGAAGGGGCAAAGAGCTTCACACAAATCGTCTAATTTCCCATTCTCTTCAAGGTCTATAGCTAGTTCACTTAAGGTATGCTCTAGTCTAAGGTCGTTAATTTAGTTTTAAAGTGCCTGCGCGATGTACGTATTTCCCCATGTATAAATTTATATTTCCAAATGTTCAGGCTCCCAAACGATGTTAGTGTCAAGAAAACACTTTCTTAAACCCTTGTTAAAAATTCTTCATACATGTTCTTCAGACTTGTTTCAGTCTTTCTCTTATTGTCTATATCTCTTAATTATTAAGAAACAAAGCAACTTGATTATATTCACTATTTTTGGTAGGTCTTAGGTTGTTTTTCTGTTTGAATTAGATTTTTCATTTCCATACGGGATCAGATCTTCTACTGTTTCAACTGCTGCATAAAAATCGAACTTGTAGTTTATTTGATTGCTTAATGTGTCGGTGGCTAGTGAAAGTGCATCTAACGAATTTGGCTAATATTCGTCCCTGACTAGTAGGGTTCATATATATGGGTTCTGGAGTTCCCTTAGAATGAATAGTGTATGAATTTGCGAAAGTCACTTTATGCCATAAAAACTCATGCTATGATCATTCATCATTGAACTATGAGTTAGAATCAGAGGTTGAAGGCTTGGTTGGCGACCCTATTAAAGATCATGCTTTCGTGTGGGTATCGGAATTTTTCGTGGATTTTGCAGCGGGTATCATAGTTAACAGCTGATTTATTGATAGTTTCGTATGGTATCAAGCATATACCTTTGGCATCAATTAGATGGATTCTTTTAGAAGACAAGTACTATAGCCTTTCATGTCAGTGGTAGAAAACTCAATTTTTACACCAAATTTCATCGAAAAGGGTTCGTTCTAATCAATCTGAGCAACAAGCCATCATTATCATATCTAGTTTTTCGTGCTTAAGCTTGATTAGATAAATAAAAGCAACCAACTTAGCTAATTCTCTTACTGTTGCCAAACTATTTAATGACTCAGATTACTCCTGAAGCCTCAATTTAGATATTTAGGAAGGAGATTGAGAAACACATTTGGAATTCTTTCTTATTGCCTTTTTATTCAACATATCCAGCAAACAGCATTAGAATTTTTATGTACTCTAAGTTCATATGAAAATTTCTGGATAAAAGATTGAATTCCTGAGACGTTTAAAGAAAAAAAATATGTATCTTAATACATACATGTATTAGGATTAGTTGTATTTTTATATGTAGGGCTTTGTAGGTGCAATAACGGCCAGATCTACGTCGTGCAAGATGCAACCAAAGTAACTACCAGTAGGTATGTAGTGAACAAGAACACAGGTGGGGCAACCGAATTGTATTTAACGGAAATTACAGAGTTACTCAGTAAAATCGGAAAACCATATCGTAAATCGTTCATTTGCAAATTATCAGTTCATCATATCGAACTGGACTGTTCCTGTTGCAAAACATCAATCCATTGTCACTACTATTCATGCGTTTCATATAAATTCCATTGTTTTCTAACTCTTCCTTTCTTGATCTCTCCCCATCTTCTGCTGCCAGACATTACGTTGACACTCACGTCATATACTACTTATAAGTAGCTCACACCACAGGTAGTCTGCCAATGTTTGAATTTCTGACATTTTCCCACTTGTTTTTTATTTTATTATAAATGTGGAAGCTAATTAAAAGTTACTAAACTCAAATAATTACCTGGATAGTAGACTTCAATGCAACTTACATATTGTCATTTAGTTTGTGCACGATTTTGTTTTATTATTCCGTTGATTATTACCAATGTATTTCTTATTTCTTGGGCATTTTTATTTCTTACATATATATATCTTTTGATTTCCAGGATAATTACTTTTGTATTAAATCATGGATTATAGTCTTGGCTTATTCATTGGAAAATTCTAGTGAATTCAAACCTCATTTGCAAAAGGTTGTATCTTTCTTGGAAGAAAATGAAACATCTCAACAATAAATTGTGTAACTTTGCTATCATACCATACATTTGTCAGATATTGAGCCACTTTCTATGGCCATTATGTACATTTTTATTTTTCCTCAAATAAACATCATTACTTCTCATGTTTTACCTTGTATACTTTCTTGTCGTTGCTTCACTGACGGGAAAAAAATTTGATGTATCTCAAAAATTTCAGTTATGCTGCCGAAAAAATCTTTGTCAACATTGTTTGGCTTCTTCAACACTCCAGTGTTATCAGAAATCAAAGTTTTTAAGTGTTCTGACCATGCGAATCAAAATGAATACTCTATTATATCTAAATGGACGCAGATTGATACCTTTCGGAAAGACAGTGTCTCATATTCAAAAACTTATTTAATCAATTTGCCACATGACAAGTATGAAAATTTAGAAGTGAAATATACTTCACAACTACAGTTTTCCTCATTTGGACAGTGCTTTCCTTTCACTTCACAGAACCATGTACGTACTATTTGGGATATTCAGTCTCCTGAAGGCAGTCATAGAGCTGTGTGTATCGAATGTAATCCACCACCAGCTCCAAATTCTTCAAAGTCTACCATCGCTAGTTTCGCAGAATCGGGTATTTTCATTCAAATATGGTTCAATGGACGTCTCACAAACTCAATAAAGCTCCCAACGAAATCTCCTAATGCTCGTCATGGTCGTGTTTATCCTTCGAACGGTGCGACATTTTGTGGAGCCATATGGTCAAATGCAAGAGATAAGATTGTTTATCTGGCAGAAGAAGTCTTTAATGATCCTGCAGAGGTAATAGCTTTCATCATTTTACTATGATTATCGTATGTATTATCAGATGCAGTCTGTGGAAAAATTCCTATGTAGCGTAATATAAATGAAATAAATAGCCTAATTTGAAACAATAGTAAGGTGGTTTGTCGGTCCCGACCGTAGCTGCTACCTTGATGTAGTGGTCGGGCTTGCCTATCGTCATGATCCAACCGAGCTATAGTGGCTGGAACAGATGTTCCTGAAGGTTCTACCATGCCAGGCAGGTCGATTGAAGAACGATGAGACTAAAAGCAGCTACTCAAGGTCTGAGGGCGAAGTTGACTGCTGACTGCAGAGGGGTGTGACAGCAGTAAGGTGTTTCCCTCGGACAACCAGCATCTGCAGTGATGCTGCCTTCTCACAAGGAAGGAAGTGTTAGAAAAAGTCGACCTTAAAATGTCACACCTCACCCTACCTCGCGGAGTTCCGTCTCCGACGGTAAGGGTGCCCACTAAGGGCTTTCAAGAGCGGAGCTAACACTCAAAATACCTTTCATAAAAATGCCGTGTGTGACTGGCGTCAAGCAGTTGTCCTTTGGACTCTGCGGTCACGCAACCAGGTCTCTAAGACCAACACTAATCTATCTTCCTTTTCAGGTCCCTCAAGAAACAACCTTCCACGGTGTGGGCAACCGGGAAGTGACAACTGCCCTCATACCCGTAACAGCTCACGAGACCAAATCGGTCGAAATCAAATCCTTCCTACACCCACACATACCTCTCTTCTCTCCACAACTAACTCTACTCACATTCCCTTATCTCACTGCACCGCTAATGTAAACGGAGCGAGTTCTTGAAGCGTCATTCCTGGTCTCTTGAAAACCCGTTTTAGACTACATGTTGGAGCTTTTAATGTACGGACATTGTGTCAAGTAGGGCAACAGGCTTCCTTAGATAGGACTTTAGAATCTCGTGCCATCGATGTATGCTGCGTCTTGGAAACGCGCATACAGGATCCTAGTAAAATTATTAATCTGATTTCACCTTATCAAAATAAAGAGGCAGCTCGATTTACTCTTCGTGTATCTGGAAGCCCTGATGCTGCTTCCAGGGGTCTTGCTGGCGTAGGTATACCATTGAGTCGTAGAGCACAACTAGCGCTCCTAGACTGGATCCCAGTAGATAGTCGCTTGTGCGCTGTCCGACTAAACGGGACAGTAAGGACTCGTAATGATAGCGACAATCGCTGTTGCCTCTTCGTCGTATCTGCCTATGCCCCCACTGACTGCAGTTCAGACGAGGTTAAAGATGAGTTTTACAGAAAGCTTTCGGACCTCCTCCAAAAAGCTAGGCGCTCTGGTATAGTAATAATGGCTGGTGACTTTAATGCTCAAGTAGGTAGACTAAGTGAGCAGGAGAGACACCTAGGTGAATGTTATGGTGTCGCGGCTCAGAGAACAGACCATGGCGACCGTCTGTTGCAAGTATGCTCAGATAACCGCTTATTCTTAGCAAACGCTAACTTTAGGCATAAGAAAAAGCGTCTCTTGACCTGGCGACCTCCAAAGTCGTCTCAACGTTGGACCCAACTAGATCGCATTGCCATCAGCCACCGATGGAGAGGTTCGGTAGAGGACTGTCGCTCGTTCTGGGGCACATGTTTAGATTCAGACCATGCCCTAGTGCGAGCGTGTATCTGTTTGAGGCTTACTGGACGTAGGAAAGACATCGTAAGGAAACCTCTTAGGGTTTTACTTAATGATAATAAAGCTAAGAATATATTCCAGGAGCAACTAGAAAGGGAGTTAAGCAACCATGTAAGCGATTCCCATCCAGAAGCAGGTTGGTATGATATTAAAAAGTCTGTGGAAGCAGCAGTGATATCTACTAGTAAGGTAAACCGTAAGGCTAGGATGAAGCCGTGGATCTCAGTAGCATCTACCGAACTGATGGATGCAGGAAAACTCATCCCGCCTGGCTCTGAGGGCGATGAGGAACGGAGTAAGCTTAGACGTAGTTTGACAAAAAGCCTACGCAATGATCGAGAACAGTGGTGGGTGGAGAAAGCGAGAGAGAT